ACAACAAACCATGAGAGTTTTCCTCAAGTGACCATATGCGGTGCTTAGTGTTCAGTTTCAATTCCAGTGATCTAGTTTTAATCAGATTGTCATTGGTAATCTTTAAATATTGTATCCATGTAGAATACATATTATCTGTCAGAACACACTGTCATTATAATGGCCTGTTGCTGTTAAAGGGCAGTTATATAATATCACATATAGAACTACTACTACTGTCCACCATAAATTTATACACTCGGTTTCATAGTCTCATGTAAGGGAATCGTTGATGACAAGAATGTCCCTAGGGGCCTGAAGTTTCCTTCCACATTTCTCACCAAAGTACTTTCCTGTTTTCCAGCTTCCTCAGTTCTTATGTCGTATATGTTAGTCTTTCTGGATGTTCCTAATTCATGAGAATAGTTTTAGAATCTTTTTATCATATTTACCAGACCACACAACCATTTTTTGAAGATTTTGAAGCATTGTTGGACCATCCATTCCATCCAAAAACCATATAAACAGTTAGGGAGAATGATCTGATCTTCAGAAGTCCCAGAAGAACTGTCTCTATAGGTTTATGCTTTGTTTGTAACAGGCTAATCTTCTGAACAAACTTGCAATGAATCAAATAACTTGTATACGGTTTTACAAACATTAATGGATAATTGCCCTCTCTTCAAAGGATGCTGCATGTCATAGATTAACGCAGCATCCCTTGTACATCCTAGTACATTTCTTGCTACGTGCTTCTGAAACATATCATGGAAGATGAGAATTGCTGCTGATAATTATTTTTCATCCTCACTGTAGAATGTATTGGCTCAATAAAAAATTCTATTACACTTATGGTTGTCTTGGTAATTATACTAAGGATCAATTGAAAGGTACGGCTCTTTTATATATCAATGAACTATTTCCATAAATATTATGGAAAATTCTACAGAGCAGTTTTCAAGTAAGACAATTCTCTCCAGCTGACCACATCGTTTTATTCTTCCTAGGGCTATATTGTGCTCTATTTTTCTATGTTTCTTTAAGTTATGGATTACCACAACGTCTGCTTAGCTTCTTACAAAATAACAATTAGAAATGGGTTGTTGTTTTGAAAAAAATACTTAAACAGGGAAATCTCATATGACTTTTAAGATAGTGCAACCATAAATCATTGAACATAACTCCATACACAGCCTTTCAACATTAGTGAGTATAAAGCCCAAAGAACGAGGTTGAGCATGGCTGGTGGGGGGGATCAAAGATATTCCTTAAAGGACCACTATAGTGCCAGGAAAGCATACTCGTTTTCCTTGCACTATAGTGCCCTGAGGGTGTCCCCACCCTCAGGGTCCCCCTCCCGCCAGGCTCTGGGGAGAGGAAGGGGTTAAACTTACCTCTTTCTCCAGCGCCGGGCGGGGAGCTCTCCTCTCCTCCTCCTCTTCTGCTGAATGCGCATGCAAGGCAGGAGCCACGCGCTCATTCAGCCAGTCCATAGGAAAGCATTCTGAATCCTTTCCTATGGACGCTGGCGTCTTCTCACTGTGATTTCATTAAGCTGAAGTGGTCTGGGTGCCTATAGTGGTCCTTTAATGGCCCTGTTATTGGCTATGTTCAGCATTTCTCCACCCTGGCCAAAGGTAGGGGGTGGCGGGTGGGAACACATTTTATGGTTTTGTAAATTAAACAAAAAATGCTGAGAATGTCTATTGTCAAACTTTTAACATATAATCCAATGTATCAAATGCTTATGTTAATTTGTGTTTGTTCTGAAAATGCATTAATTAAAGAATTCAAATATAAAAAATGCTCAATATTAAATAGTCATTACTGCTATTACTGTTATTATGGAGTTTAGCCAACTTGAGAATTCTGGTACAGTAGCTGTTAGTATATCAGTTTTATACAACCGTTTCTGATTTCAGGCTACTACAGCAATACGTAAGTACTGTATTATGTAAATGTTTGAAGTATTAAATTGTGGATGTCAGGGGGCAGGATCAAGCAATATGTCTTTCAATACAACTTAATTCACAGAAATTTGTGAAATCCAAAAATGGATATTTCACTATTATCTCGTTTAATATTTGGCCAATTATTATGTTGGGAAATACCAATGTACTAAAAGTGCATTGATTCCTGTTTGTCCCTGATTTAAAGGGACACTATAGACACCAAAACATATTTAGCCTAATTGAGTGGTTTTGGTGTATAGAGCATGCCCCTGCAGCCCAACAGTTTAATTCACTGTCATTTAGGAGGTAAATTACAGCGATGGAACTACCCTGAACTACGTTAAGGGGACCCATCCGGTAGTCCGTGCACATAGGGCCACCCGATGATAATGAATGTTAAGAGGCCCAGTCAGCACTGTGTAATGTAGCCCCATGTAGCCAAGCGCAGCTAAGCGGAAAAAGGCCTTGACAGGGGTTAGGAGGCGGGCCTAGGAGGAAGTAAGCAAGGGAGTGGAGTTATGGGTAAGTGGGTTTGGTTATTTAAATGGGCAGCCATTTTAGTTAATTCATTTTAACTTCCTACCTGGTTAAGTTTGTCCCACCCACCCTCCCTGTTTTGTTATGTGTGGTTTTGTCCCGTTTTTTCACAGCGGCGGGACGGGGAGCTGAAGGAGAGGAAATAGGCTCCCCAGGATGAACGTAATGGAAGACAAACAAGTGGTGGTCATTGGTGGTTGATAGGTTTCGAGTCCTGTCGGTGGCTCAGAACCTGGTGGGGTAGGGGTATCCGGGTATACCCCTGCCGTGGTTAATGGATGGTTGGCACTTTACATCGATTGGAATAATGTTGATGTATGTTATATATATATGTTTATTTATATGGGGGTCATTGCCCTTTATATGTTAATGGAAGGAATAGGATGCGAGGGCGGAGTATGGGGGGCAATGACCCATGTTTACTTGTTAAGTTATTATTATGATTATTATTGTTATTATTATTATTTGCTAAATAAAGCTGTGGACATATTTCCCCATATCCTCTAGTATGTGCGTTATTGGGTTGGGTTATGGGGTGGTTGTCCTGGATTCCGACTGCCCAAAATGGCGACTATACACCTGTCATGTTGACAATGCTGACTGGGCCTCTGTGATATCAGTAGTGCTGACTGGGCCCCTTTTTAATGATGTCTGTGATGGGAGGAAGTGACAGCTGGTGTGCATATATCTCAGCATTCAAGCGCCAGCACTACGCACAAATACACCCCTGCATTCAAATGTCAACACCACATACATACAAGAATGACACATCCTTACATTCAAAGGCAAACACTACACATAAGTAAACCACTGCTTTCAAATGGCAACAGTACATAAAAACACAACACTACACACAAGTACACCCCTACATTCACACACACTACTCTATACAAAAACATGATTACATTCAAACACTGCTCAGTGCTAAACACAAGCCTGCAAGGATCTGCAAGTGGTAGATCCTCAGTGGTAAAGCATTGTGTTGTACAATAGATGGGAATCTACCTTTTTACCATCCTTGCGATAGGGTGGCCCAAAATAAATTCTTGCACCAGGGCCCTCTTTACTTTAGTTCCACCACTGCAGACTGGTCACATTTTGTGAAAAGAGAGATCTAATGTTTAAACTTCCTTTATTGCACAGTCTGTTTAATTTAGAATTTCCTTGCTCCTGCTCTGTTAATAGCCAGCTAAAGCCTGCAGGAGTCTCCTTTAATAAAATTTAATTAATAGGGCAGGAGTTAAAAAATTATAAACTTAACACATTGAGACCTTAGATCTCATTGAAAATAAAAAACAATTTTTCATGTAGGCTGTGAGTCACAGGGCTGGAATTTCACAGATCGTGGGGATGTCCAGCATGTTCCCCAACCCAGTCTTCAGGGACCACCAACAGTCCAGGTTTTGTCAATATCTCCATTGGAATAAAACACAAAAATACATAAATCCTGGACTGTCGGTGGTCCCTGAGGACTGGGTTGGGGAACATGGATTTAGAAGACCTACAGTCCATTAGCATCCAGGAAGTAACTCTAGTGGCTGTCTGATTGACAGTTCACGCAAACCTGTTACTATAATTTAACAAGTTCACAGAACCGTTTAGCGAAGCCTGCCCATCTGGAGCACAAAAATCTGTTGTCAGACTGACAAGTGAGTTTTGCGCTCCCTCTGCCTGCAGGTAGCGTGTGGCTCCATAAGGGAGCCGTATGCAGACTAAGCCAGCTAGAGAGCGCCTCTAAAGACGGAAATAAAAACAGGGTTTCAAATTCTCTTCTTGTATCTCAATGCTGACTTTCGGGTGTCAAGTACAGGGCTTTAAACAATGCTTACCAGGGAGCTAGGAGTTACCCGTTACAGGATAATGAAGTGTAGCTTTCTACTATTAATTCTATTTTTCAAAAAGGGATCCATTTAAAACTGTGTTTAGTGGTTTTATTATCTTTAGTTTCATAAATAAAACTGTTCTGTATTTATACATCTTTGAAAAATATAAAAATTCCCCAGGTTCACACCCTAGTAAAATGTGATGCCCACACCTATGACCAAAAGTCTAAAATGCCTACCGCTCCTCTATTACATGATCATCACATTTATACAGGTTCTTAGTACATCACTGCTATGAGTATAACACTCTGCTAGCACTGCTGTTGGACATGTCCAACATCAGGCATCTACAGTAAAGACACCAGTGAATTTTTTTGTAGACAGTAACACAAGAACATGTAATTGTGTAATATTACCATTGGATGGATTGCATTAACCATAACTTTCTGTTGTTGAATCATAGTATTTCTAGTTTTTTTTTCTTCTGGACCCTTTGTATATTACTGCATCAGTAGAGAATGCCCTGTTTCACTCACATACTACCATTTTGTATTCCCTTTTGTTATTCCTTTTTGTAATACTGATAAAAAAGTGTATGAAATGTGTATTACTTGACAACAACGGATTGCCCGTGCACTTTCTCCTGACTAATGGACATCTCTCTAGAATAACAATAGCATGCCTTCAAAATAACATAAACATCTTGACTCGTTAAGCTTCTTTACCTGTTTATTGCACTAAACACCATTCTTACATGATGAATTAAAGCTTTCATGGGCTATTGTTGCCTTTAACAAATAGAACATAAATAAAAACGTAAACATGTAGGAAGAGTATAATACATTTTAGTGCCTATTATTTGAGTCTATACTAAATCCACAAAGTAGGAGAACTTAGCTGATGTGACTGACTGCAGCCAGGACTAATCTAATGAGAAATCACATTTGAGAATACTCAGGCTGTGCTATTCTTGGTGTTTACCCATATTAGCAAAAAAAAAGAGGTGACGCCATGTTACAAAACACAGCCTTTTTATTGTAATCATACACATATGTAATTATATATGTTTAAAGATAGCAAGTTGTGTTGTTCCCAATGTGGTTCGGCCTTGTAGTGTGACACTTGCCGCAACATGTGCATGGCATTCAATTTTCCATCCTTTTAAAACTTTTTTTCTGGAAAGTTGATACTAATATAGACATATTTCTCTGTGTTATTACTCATTATATTTCATGAAGTTGCACCGATGTCATCAACCTTCATTGCACAGTACCTGATAATTCAGTTCTCTATCTCTTGCAGACATAGATTAATGCTAGAACCGTGATAGGTTTCTGCATAACAGTGCACAGGAATAAATCGTTAGCTGAAACGCCACCAAATTGGGAATAAAAACTGTTTCAAATCCATGATACCCTCACCATTCTGACAGTGACTGGATTTAAGTCGGTCAATCGGTAATAAAAAATAAAAAAATCTAATGTGGTAAATTTTCACTCATATTCTCTTCCATGTGTGTCAGCTGGAATATGATTCTGTGTTGTTTTTTTTTTTTATTTCCCCTGCTCCGTACATGACAGTGAACAAGGCTGCAAGGTTGCATTAACGAACGTTAGGTCTTTGAAGTACTTCCCAGCAGTTCCCAGAAAGAGACATTTAGCTGTTGTGTTTTCATGTAGGGAAATATAACAACTGAAAGATGAAGTTATATGTTGTAAAGCTATCTCTCAAGTAAATAAGCATTATACGTTCATTTATACTATTTAAATAAGCGCTATACTCAATAACAGAACGATTTAATAACAGTATGAGACTGTGTACCCTTTAATCAGCAGCCCCACTTATTATCTGAACTGGGGGCCTGCCAAAAGAAGGAACGATTTGCACTCAACAGGTAAACACTAGACTTTTAATTTTCAATGAAGGTTAAGTCTCCTGTTCATCACTGTTGAGGATCAGTCCTCATTCCGTTTGCCTTTCACACTAATGCAGCTATTCCTACACTCATACGTATGATCCATAAGGTCTGGAAAAACTCCCAGGAGTCAAATGTATTTACTGCTGTCTTCTGTATCATTAAGGATATTATATAGGACTCTAGGATCGTGTTCCATCCATAGAGAGTGTTGGCACCTTGGCCATGTTTTCCCAGATAGCTAAAAATTCCACATGCTCTTGGTATGTACATGAGTAGTGCTCGTCAGCAATATGAATAGCTATCAATTTCTAAAGGGAAAATCAGTTCCAAAGGGATTTCAACTAAGATTAAATTAATTTCTACATCTGAATTCTACATATTAGCTAAGGCCCACAATAATTTTTCAAAACCTACCATGGACATCATAGACCAAATGGTCTTTAACCAATCATATACACCTCATCAGGGGAGGATTATGCAAAAAAGGGCTTTAGCAGCACACACATAAAGTATGCACAATGCAATAACAAGATGCCTCACAATACCTGTTTTAGTCTTATTCATATCCTTAACTAAACTAGCCAGCATACAAGCCATAGAGGACTGCAGTTAAGATAGATTGTTTCTCCAGAATGCGTGAATAAAACCTACCAAATGCCTCCTTTTCTCTTTCTTAATAAACAATTTCTGTCTTGGTTATGACTGGGCTGAGACTTCCATCAGAACATTATGGTTTTTGAAATTTGTCAGAAAAACGGGCCTGCCCCGATGAAATCAGAATGGTTGGAATGCATGCCTTTGGTATCCCACTCTTTGCTAAATGCAAGTATTACAACCCATTAAAACTGACGTCTCAAACTCCAGACCCTAGATCAGGGATAGGCAACCACGGCACTCCAGATGTTGTGGACTACATCCCCCATAATGCTCTTATACCCATAATGCTGGCAAAGCCTCATGGGAGGTGTAGTCCAAAACATCTGGAGTGCCAAAGGTTGCCTATGCCTGCCCTAGATGCTGCTGAAGAACAACTCCCATGATTCCCTGGGCATCTATTGCATTCCGTTCATCTATTGCATTCTCTGGAACTTGTAGGCCATCAACGTCTACTGGACCAGAATTTGAGATCCCTACATCAGACCTTACCTATTTCATATCAACAAATTTCTGTGCTGTAATACTGGACTAAATCACAATTTCACCAAATATTTAGAAACATGTGGAAAAAAGTAACTTTTCATGGTAGGTTCTGTTTAACATCCCATGGCGGATTCTCTTTTATTACACTTTGCTAAACTTGCAGTATTTTTGTGAAGTCCATTTATTTTTTCTTTGCATTTTTTTTTGTGCACTTGGTATTTTTTTTAAACCTAAGGTGCTATAGCAATATTTCACTGTCCCTGCTTAACCTATTCAGGTGAGAATCCTACAGCAGAAAAGCACTGCGTGTCAGGGGAAATTAAAGGAAAATAAATAGTCTTATTTACATTTCAAGTAAGAGTTTGCATTTTTTGTGAATGCTCATCCTCCAGGGAGAGCCTGATTGGAAAGCAGAAGCCATCAAACCTACACGCACAATTGAACTGATGGATATAACACATTTTTGATGGAATATTTATTGAAACCATATTTTGCAGTCAGCTTCCTGGCAAATAGCCATGAGCATGTTTTCCATCTCTGACAGGGAGACCAATAAATAGCTTTCCTCAACCTAAAATCAATTTTGAACTGTGTTTACCGCATTTCTTAAGCAACTGCATGAATCAAAGTAAAGGATTTTATTCACTGAATGTATCGTGGTGACTTGACAGATTTGAAACATTTTGACTTAAATTTCTATTAGCAGATCCAAAATGGAACCTTACATGAAACATAGGCTTAGTACAATCTTACTGATAAATGACAACCAGAAGATTGTACTAAGCCTATGTTCAAGGCCAGCAGCTGATCACTTTCAGCCAGAGCTAAACTTTGCACGGCTAGGTTTAGCGCAATGCAAAGAGCTTCTAATACTCATAAAGGGGTTGACTGTTGCCCGTTGAACCCTAGGTAAGTTGTACATTGAGGGTGGGGGGCACTCTTGGCACCATAACCACTAAAGCAGGCAGTAGAGGTTATTGTGCTCGGAGTGTTTATTTAGCATCACCCAATGCTACCTGTTGGGAAAGGGTTGGACCTAGAGACCTGCCCATCAGTTGTTAGACTCCAGCGTTTACAGCTATTATTTTCTCTGTTAAGATTGGAATTGGAGTGCAGATGATTAGAATAATGTAAACATGCTCAGATTATTATAAAAAAGTTAGCATAGCATTTTCTAGTTAAGCATTTGTCTCTATGGATTCCATGCAAATCTGAATGTTTTTTACTGGCAGGATCCCTTCTCTGTTTCCATAGCAAAGCAGTCTTGGTTCATAGATAGAGGGATGCAATGTATCCTAAAAAGTACCAGTAACATGTTTACCAAGATTTATTATTTATATAGCATTTATATAGCACCAGGATATTTTACAGAACTTTACAACAGTTTACAAATAGCCATTGTTTCTACAAAGTAAGCAAAATTAATTTTTGTGCAATAAAATTGGCACTTTAACGAAAAGGTCTGTTTTAAGCATTTAAAGACTTACTATAAATCATAGAGGTGTAGGCCTAAAAACGGTGGTTTCTAACACAGTCCCCATGGCTTGAAATGGTCCAGGGTTTATCATTATACCTTCTGGAACAGAAAAAGGGAATTACAAAATCCAACACAAGAACTGGTCTAGGAAACATTGCTGTAACTTGTGAGATGTTGAGATGCCTTAAGGTTCTTTGTACTAAAACCTTTAACGTCTGCCTCACTTTTGTATATATAGACTCTGTAGAATATCATAGAGGACTGGAAAGGTTTCTCTTATTGAGAGAAATTCTACCATAGTCACATTTTAGTATATACCCCAGACTGCCTGTCAGAGGATTAAAGACAGTAATCTTTAAAGAATTTTCCACATTTATAGGCACTTAGAGATAATATTCTCCTTCACATTTCTAATTTCTTAGCTTTGGCTCATTTCCAGTAATAACAGATTAAGTGGCAGAGCACATCTTCAGAGTCTCTCTCTCTAGAAATGACATTATTGGTAAAGTAAAGAGTGCAAAGTGCTAGGAAATAACAAATAAAATAACAGTTCTTATAAAGTTACCATGGAGTAATGGGATATGTGTGTGTCACTGAAATGTAAAAACAAAGGAAAACAGAAGGAAAGAAGCAATTAATTCAGATGTATAACTTGGTTGCTTGTTACTAAAACTGAAATATACCAATGTGCAAAAACATCACAATATCCAGAGAAATATATACAAGGGACATTCAGTATATTCTATTTTTGAGGAACACCAGTTGGTATCCATAGTCTGTCTTTTTTTAATTTGTTCTGTATTCAGGGCCGGTGCAAAGAATTTTGGGTACATAGGCGAAGATGCATTTTTCCGCCCCCCCAAAAACATCTTCACCCATGTGCCTCTTAACCTCCCTTTTGTGTTTCTTATCCCGTCTTTTAAATATCTGACTCCCTTTAGTGTATTTTACCTCCTATTTTTGTCTTTGTGTCTCCTATCTCTCCTCTTTGTATGATTCTTACGTCCTCCCACATTTTGTGTCTTACTCCTCCCAGCCCCTTTGTGTGACTCCTTTTCTCCCAGCCCATTTGTGTCTTTTATTCTTCCCAGCTCCTTTGTGTGTGTCTCTTTCCTTCTCAAGCCCCGCTGTGTGTTTCTTTCACATCCAGCCCCTCTCCCCGTCCCTTAATGGTCCCCCCCTTCTCTGACCCTTACTGTTCCTTTCCCTTCCATCCTCCTTTCCCTGTCCCTTAGTGTTCCTCTTCCCTCCCCCATCTGTTCCCTGTCGCTTAGTGTTCCTCTCCCCCCCTCCCTCCTTTCCCTGTACCTTAGGGTATCTCTCCCCTCCTCTCCCTGTCCCTTGGTGCGCCACCCACCCCCACAGTGGTCCCCTCCCCTTCCTGGTGTGCCTCCTACCTTTCTTGTAGCGTGGCTGAGCGGAGCAAATCCCGGTACAGTGAGCTTTTCCTGTCAGTCCTGCTAGGTACAGGAAACAGAAGTTCCTGTACCACGGTACACTCCGCTTGGCCACGCTACAGTCAGGGGTGTAGAAACACTGACAGTCACACACACTCAATGACAAACACACAGACATCTCTGACAGCCAGACTCACTTATCTGACACACTCATTAATTGACAGACACTCACACGCACACTGACAGACACAAACACTGACAGACTCATTGAAAAACACACACTGACACACACACACAAACTCACAGACACTGACAGACACACGTACTCACATGCACATCACATGACACACACACTGACAGACACACTCACACACACACACACACTGACAGCACACACACTGACAGACACACACACTCACACACACACACTGACAGACACACTCACTCACTGACAGACACACACACTCACATCACACACACACACACACACACACACACACTGACAGACACACACACACTCACAGACACACTCACAGTAATTAATAATCTAAATTAAATTAACATTTCCCACCCAGCCTCCCTACCTGGAGAGCTGGCGTGGGTCTCTCATTGGTGGTCCAGTGGGGCTGCTGGGAGGCGTGCGGCTGAATTGGATTCCGAGGTGGCGAGGGAGCTCTGATCTCTCTGATCTGCTCCCTCGCAGGCTGCTTACTGATGCCGCGGGAGCCGGAATATGACGTCATCAGTAAACAGCCTGCGAGGGAGCACATCAGAGAGATCAGAGCTCCCTCGCCACCTCGCATCCAATTCAGCCGCACGCCGCGCCGGGGATCCAGGAGGTGACCTGGCAGGAGGGAGCACTTCCCTCCTGCCGGTCACTGGAATTTTGCGCCCCCAGAGCCGGTGCGCCCTAAGGCGGCCGCCTGTGCCGCCTTATGGACGCGCCGGCCCTGTCTGTATTTCTAATCCTTTTTCCTAAAGACTTCACGCAAATCATTGGCGATGTTACTGAATGAAGATTTGAATACAGGTACCGATATGTGAATATATTGAGCTACAGCGCCTTTCATCTCAACCAAGACATTGATTTTAAATTGGATATTAAAATTTTAATTATGGCAGTACTGTAACTGTACCATGCTGCAGGAGGTAAGGGATACATTATTTATCTGTAATAACATTCTTGCTGTCTTACTGAGAACGTCCTTGTCTTGAGAAAGTGCCCGTTCTGCTAATCTGCCGAGACCTGGCACTGGCTCTTTGTTGCCTTCCGTTTCTGCCCCCTTCTCTGGCGACACTTGAAGCTGCCAGCCCATTTCCGCCAAAAACACTCTGTTGTGTTAGATCCTTTTCCAGACAGTTGAAAGTAAGAGCCACTCCCAAATTACTCTTCATTACCCTAGAAGAGCCATCGGATGTTCCATCAAAACACCTACCCAGAGCTATCTCCTTAGCTGTTCTAGGATCTTGGTCGGTAACTGTGTAGATACCGTAGTTATGTCCAAGTGGGTCAAGAGGAGCCAGCATAGTGTACTCATTCGTATCGTTATTGACTGCCATTGGCAGATGGTTGATTAAGTATTCGTGCAGCATGCTGTTTATATTTTCTCTTCTGCAGCTTCCTTGGGGTACAATCTTTACTAGTGTTCGATCCACTCTGTCCTGGTCATACAACATGCCACTACATTTGAATTCTACACACGCTGTGGATAGGTTAGACTCCTCCTGGTCTCTAGTACTCCGTACATCTCGAATACCATATAGCTGGCCTGTTGTTTGTGGGTGGGTACCCCCCATGTTTCGGGATCTCACGATCAGCTCTTGAGGACCAACAATTTTAACTTTCATATAACAAGCACGGTACTCCATTGGTTTGGGCCACCAAGCTAAATAGTCAGCTGTCCAACCCATAGGGTCATCCTCATTGAAAGCCACAGTGTTAAAATCATACCTATCTCCTTCTACCCTATAAAACCTAAAATGAGCAGAATTGTATGGTGCCTCTTCACACTCACGAAGTTTGTCATAGGCATAGACAGGGCCATTGCTTTCTTCAGCGGCATTGGGGTTTGGCTTAGCTACATTAATGCTAAAAGCTGTCTTCTTGATTTTGGGATCATCATGATCTGTTCTTCTGTAGTTTAATTTGTTTAGGTAGGGCTGAGGAACACCAATTATGTTTGGGTTGAATTTAGGAGAAGATTCCACTGCTTCCAGTTCTTCTCCTCCTAAAGTGGCCGTTACAAATGCTGAATAGGCATCTGGGCTCTTGTCATCACAAAATGCTGGCAGACAGGCTCCATTAGAACCAGTTATCGCACTGTCAAAACGACCCCAGGCTCTTGGATTAGAAGAGAACCCTGACATTGGCTCCATATTAATCAGGTTCACGACAACACCTTCAACTTGTTCACTTGGCAAAAACCTTTCACTTCTGAAAACTCGGACCTTCACATAACATCTCCTGCTTTCAGGTACATCTAAATTAAACAGTCTTCTTTCTCTAATTTCCATATTGCCAACAAGAAAGGTTCTCTCCTCTCTTTTTCCACGTCGAACTGCTTGTCTCAAAAAGTCACCCTCTTCCTCCCAAAGCCCAGTTTCTGGATTCAAAGACCACAATTTCATTTTCTCAAGGTGTTCAGACATCTTTACTTGTGCAGAATCAAGATAGACTTTAACAGCTCCTGCATTTAGGCTTTCCTTGGCTTCTTCATCTGTAAAGTCCACAGAAAACATTCCATAGGAGCGCAGTGGCATAGTATCTCCTTCCTCATTGACAAAATTTAGGTCACTTTGTGCAGCAGTAGCTGTTGATATGTTTCGTGGGTCCAAAAATGTAACACTTGCCTTCACTTTACCACTATACTCTTCCCCATTTTGCCGATAGAAAGAATTTGGGGGGATTTCCAGCTCAGCTATAGGATCCTCATTTTCTACGTCTCCCAAAGATATTTGGTTTGTCTTCTTGGAGTCCAGTATCACTGGTTTCTTCTTTCTAAGGAGATGTACTTCATGAAAGACAGCACCCCCCTTTTTGTTAAATGGAAGTACTTTGGTGGTGTTCACAAACTTCTGAAGCCGGTCAACAAAAGTAAGGACAAGCCTTTCCGTTTCTGCAGGAACATGAATAGAGAAAGTCCCCTTATAACCAGTGATGCTAACTCTGGAATTTCCCATGTAGATATGCCCAAAACGCATTGGCTCCCCAGTATCAGCTGCAATTGCTCTCCCACGGACAATTATTCTACTCTCTGTACACTTTTGGCAACCACATTGTACAGCCACCTTAATAGGAAGTGTATAACCCTGACAAGTTATCACTTTGACCTCTGTTTTTGTGATTCCACAGCAATAGGGCACTGCGTCTTTACACCGTAATCCATTGTCCAGATCCCCAGGGCAACCACTGGCAGGGCACTTTCCCACATTATAGTATAAGGAATTTGTGGCATCTTGAAAGCAGTCATGAGGGAGTCGGATAAGATGTTCTTCGGGTTTTGGTTTGCAGGACAGAGCTTGTTCAGCTGCAGATAAATTATTAATATGAGAATATGTTAATGTGGTTGAACTGAAATAATGATTGCATACATGAATTAGAGAGTATAAATACAACACCCTTGAGTACCTTTACTTAGATGTTTTGCATCATAGTAGTAGCATCATAAGCAGTCTATTGATTTCCAACATCAAATCTGATTTAGCCAGGAGGACTCCAGACCAGCATTCAAAAATTTAGATAACGGTTTGACTACTCACTTGTGGGGGTGGGGGATTACTAGAGCACTTGTGGCACCATAACCACTATAGTAGCTGGATTACCCATAAGACATCATAGGCAAGCCTGGACCTCTGTCTCTGTCTTTGACAGGGATTACCTCGACCATGCAGCTCCTGACTACCTCAAGGTAGTCTGGTGGGGAACCGTTGGTCGGTACCTCAGGTGAAGATCACTTTAAGAGCTCCCTCTCAGTCCCGGCACTTCTCATCAGGACTAGCAGGGAGCTATTAAAGTGAGCTTCACCTGATAGAGGGGCCAAGTAATGGTCCCCATCCAAACTACAATGGATTTCCCTACCCAGTGTGGTCTGCACTGGACCACCAAGGATTACTTACCAATAGGTAAGTAGGAGGGGTGCAAATGGAAAAAAATGGGAAAAGATGTGTGTGGAAGTTTTCCACATCAAAAACAACTGACATAATGTTTGCAGTGTTCAAAAGATTTTAACTCATAACGAAACATAAGCTACTGAATGTAGATGCCTAATTAACTTGTCAATGCTCTGTAAACATTTAAAGGGATTCTATAGTATTAGCCCTCTGGTCTCCCCCTCCCTTGCAGACCCCCCCCTCTAGCACAGAACGGGTTTAATTCCAGCACCAATGTCTTTCAGGCCTGTTTGGGGCAACGTCTCTTCCCAATGTCATCTGAAGGGGGGGGCCTAATGTGCATGCGCGGTGAGTGCAAGGAAAGCTTTGTCTCTATGGGGATTTCACTGATGCTGGTTGTCCTCATGCAGAGTGTACATATAGTGCCTCTTTAATTGTTTAAAAATATTTGGGTATTTTGAACTATTGTATTGTGTCATTAATGATTTGATGTGACCCAAATAAAATAAAGAATTGAAAAGTTAAAAAAACTTTATCTACTCAATTATTATCAATATTGTACATTTACTCTACTATTGTACATTTACACGTTGTTCAGCATAGCTCTGCGCATTATTCCTGCTTACCAATCAGTGTAAGTGTGGCAGCCTGGGATTTCACAAATCCTGCCTCGTTCTTGGCCTTGCAGTAATACTCTCCCGCTTGGCTTATCTGCAGTTTGCGCAAGACCAGCTGGTTACTATTTTTGCGCATGTTTTGGTTCAGCAGAGTTCCATTGTGATACCTTTACAACAAAAAGTGACAGAAGAGAGTAATAAAAATTTTGAAAAACTTTTAATTCTCCATCCATTTGTAATACTGTTTCCATACCCAGAAATATGAGATGTAGACACATTAAAGCTATTATTGTGATAGTGATTGTAAATTTAATTCAGAGCATAAACTAATATAATATCACAGGCAGAGAATGTGAACCTCGGAAGGCACTTGGTTGAAAGAAGTTTGACAAAAGAGTAACTACGCCCCTCTCCCCTTACACCATAACCACAAAGCTACTTGTAGTGGTTTTGATGAAAGGATGCAAGGAGTCTCCCTTTGGCATATAAATTATTTCATTTTCATCATGAAAAATAAACATTGTGTGTAGATGGAGTTGTTAGCATGGTCAGATCCAGAGCCCAATTTCGGAAGGGACACTGTTAGATTATTTATTTGCAGGTCAACTAAAAAAAAAAAAAAAACAACAACACTTAAAGTAGAATGCACATTTCTGTCAGTTATTCTGTATACTGTAAGTTATTCACTTAACCCTGGATTGAATTTAAAACCAATTTATATATTAAAGGAATCCTCTGGGCACCATATCAACATCATCAGAATTAAATTGTTATGGTGCGAGAAGATCCCCGGGCAGTGACTTACCTCAAGGGATTAAACTTTTATTGAATGGTTTAACCCCAATGTGGTGCACAATCACTTTACACACAAACATCCTCCACTGTCCGAGGCTTGGATCAGGAAGCCTTGGACAGGGGCACCAAATTCAACACTTTGAGGTTAAACCATTTGTTAACAGTTTAATCCTTTGATTTAAGCCAGCGACCGGGGACTTCCTTGCACCATAACATGGATCAAAGCTGATTTAAAGACATTCTCCAGGTGAGCTATAGTCATATATTAGTAGTAGAAATTGACTAGGCCAAAGGTAGTGGTTATTCCAGACTTGAATATACCACCCTCCTAGTGGTCAGTCACACCTTTAAATGACACTCCAGTGGTGTCAAGGGGCATAACCCCAAAATGGAAGTATTAGAAAATGACTTTCCTGTTACTGGTCACTGAAACCAGAACCAGGACTGTCAGCTGGACAAAATATTAGTAGATAATAGATAATTAAATCAAAATTGCCATCAATATGTCGGAATATAGAGAGGGTTCATACGTAGATTCAAGTGATTAAAATAGCCTAAATGGCTCTTCTCCTGTCTAAAGGACTCTTAGACGTAAAGAATCTATTTGAGACTCAGGACTTTAATATAATCAACCATAGTATGTCCATGTCAACAGTAAAAGCGGTTGTGGAATGAGCCTTTAAATTAACTCCTGTAATCTAGATGGAAAAGACAATCAGTCAAGGAGGAACTTTGAATATTGGCTGTATATAAAGTAACACTTGTAGCAAAGCCCGCTGTATCAAAAAAGCTACAATAAGAGTGTAGTTAAGCAATCAGCAATTAAGGATAACAGCATTTAGCTGGATACCAAGTAACATATAATAAAAGGAAAAAAGTCTACATGAAAATTCGTAGATTAATCACAAAATATGTCATAAATGATAAATCTTAAGTTAGTGGTTTCCTAAATCGCTATGGGGTACAAAGAGTATCTGTTGCCCCCTCAAATACATACAGAGCCAGTCCAGATTCCTCAATCAAATAGATAATTCCAATCTAGATAGCATATCAGGAGTGACAGGAGGAAAAGGTGAAAAATTAGGAAATAATAGTGCTAATGTGTAGAACCATGCTTAGAGTGCTGGTTACCTACACATCGTGAAATAGTGCCCTAGAAGTGAAAATAAAAAGTGAGTGAAAGTGAAGGAGAAAAACCTCCTTCAACCCGACGCGCGTTTCGGTGCTGTGATGCACCTTCGTCAGGGGCTGAATTCGTTATGGACCCTAGACCTTGTTTAAATACCCCTGGTATTGTAACTGTTGAGAGGATTCCACCAATCAGGGTTCCTGTGTGGACCGTCAGTTGGCGCCAAAATGACGTCAGAATATGCTAATTCGCTGTTTAAATAAAGAAAAAAAAAAAAAGGAAGAAAACTCCAATCAGGGTTAAGTCCACCTCTACATTGTGTGGTTTATATTTAACCCTGTATGTACTCATTGGATGGAGTGACTTGCTTCATAGAATAGGGAAAGGACGAAGGTGAATATATCTGTGTAAATTTTATAATCAGAGACGAATGATTCGTCAAGAAATTTATATCATGTAAAATCAGTGTATTGCTATCACAAGGCATTGTTTGAGAAGTAGACGGTTCATCATGGGTTATCTGGACGCCTGTGGGATCATGAGAATGGGTAGAGAGGCTTTGAGCAAAAAACCTCTAAAAAGTGAAAATAAGGGATTTTAACCCTCGCTCAGCCATGGGGACCTAATACCTATCCCAGGATATCATAAGGATTATATAAATATGGGCGGTCAGGTTAACTGTACTTCCTATTAGGGTAATGATCATTTCATTATCAAGCCTCATTCTCGATTTACGGGCGGAATTAACCCCCGCTATACTGTTCTTAGCAGTCATGTGAAAATAGTAGTAGCTGAGCTTATACCCAAAATTCCCATGTGCGGGTATTATCAATGGCTTGATGTTCGTAAATAAATTGCCAGATACTCATATACCAGTGTGTCTACATAAATACTAGGTGATAAATGCCTCTGATATACATAATCAAATATTGAGGCTTTTTATAATGCAGATAAATTCGTCAGTTCTTATTCTTACTAAATGGAGATTAGTATTTCGGTAATCGCAATTTGTCCAGCCATTCCCATTGGCAGTATCAATTCAATTTGTCAATTTAGATGGCTGGTACGTTGTGCTAGTCCATATATCCAAATAACGTGTATAGTATTATAAATAGGAGATGGAGGGAAAAGTAGCATACGATATATTAAATTTTAAGTAATTTATATAACTTTTAATGGATCATGTGTCATCATGGGATCAGAGTGATCGGTCATGTGTAAATCTTACTGGACATAATTTACTCAAATGAGTGAGTTATATAGTATAATTAAAGTGTATCCAGAAGATACCCACTAGACAGGCTATAATAATGAGGGCTGTATACCTTCTTTGAGCCACTAGGGGTCAGTCACAGACATACCAGGGGTAAATTTCCATATTGAATGTATCTAAGTAGTATTTACTCTTTTGATGGATTAATTTCCAATTATTAAATAGTAAATTAATGAAGTGTTGCTAGGGAAGAACCGGTATTTAATCAGGGATAAAGGGAGTGTATGAGAATCCTTCGTTAAGGCCCAAGGGGGATAAAGTTTTTAATTTAAATATCCAGAAGCTCTCTCGCTGTAAGAGTCTTTTGTCCAGATCTCCCTTCCTTGGTCCCAACTTTATTTTTTCTACTCCATTAAAGCGTAAGCCCTGTGCAGAGCCGGCATGTTTAATTTTCAAATGTCTTGATATAGATGTATCTATCTGTCTAGATGGATTCACAGAGTTTATGTGTTCAAGGATGCGGGTTTTAAACTGTCTGAAAGTCTTCCCCACGTATTTCAAATTGCAACTGCAAGTAATGAGGTATATTAGGCCCTCGGTTTTGCAGTTAAAGAAGGTTTTAGTTGTGTGTATCTCAGTATTATCCGAGTTAGAGAATGATTTCGATTGTTTCCGGATAAGTTTACAGGCCTTACACTTGCCGCACTGAAAGGTGCCGGCAGCAGGCGATTTAAGCCAGGTGTTAGTAGGTTTTGGGAGAGATAAATGGCTTGGAACCAAAATATCTTTTAGGTTCTGACCTCTCCTTGCTGTAATCGATACGTGGGGTGTCAGCACATCTTTAAGATGTGTATCTTGGTACAGTAGTGGCCAGAATCTCTCTAGTGTTTTTTTTTTTTCATACCGTCCCAACCCGAATCAAAGGTTCCAATACATCTTATTATTTCCTGATTTTTGTTTTGGGGGGGGGACTTTTCGGACAGAAGGTTGGTCCTTTCAGTAGCTAGTGCCCTGTGATAAGCTCTTTTTAGACACTTGTTTGGATATCCCTTGGCTTTAAAAAGGGATCTCAGGGTCTGTGCTTTTATTTTAAAATCTTCTTGGGAGGAACAATTCCTCCTTAGTCTGAGATATTGGCCTGTCGGTATCCCACTTTTTAAAGCAGGGGGTGATGACTCTCCCAGTTCAGAAAGTTATTGGTTGCAGTTGGTTTTTTGAAAAGCGTGGTGGTGAAATCGTTGTTATGAGAAATTTCGAGAGTTAGGTCCAAAAAATTCAGTCTTTTATCACCTATATCGAAAGTGAATTTAAGGTTAATCTCATTCACATTGAGTACTTCCACGAATTCATGGAATAGATCAATCGGACCTGTCCACACTATCAAAATGTCATCGATATAGCGTTTCCATAGGTTTATGTGTACGCTAAATTTATCGAGACTAGGGTTGAAGACAATGTTACTTTCCCACCACCCCAGGTGAAGGTTGGCATAGGATGGTGCACAAGTCGTACCCATCGCTGTGCCCTTCACCTGGTGATAGTAGTTGCCTTTAAAGAGGAAGTAATTATGAGTCAATATAAACCTCAACAGTCTGAGGACAAACTCATTGTGTTCATTGCGGGTAGGGTCTCTCATATACAGAAACGTTCTAACGTGTCTGATACCAACATCATGGGGAATAGAACTATACAGACCCTCAACATCTAGGCTACAAAGGCTTGCTTTGGCCGGAATTTTCATATCTTTGAGGATGCTGAGGGTCTGCTTAGTGTCTCTCAAATGAGAAGGAAGAGACTTAACTAGATCACGAAGGATGTGTTCAATATACACACTACAATTCTGCGTCAGATTATTATTGCCTGAAACGATAGGTCTCCCTGACAATGTTTTGTGCTGTTTATGAATTTTTGGTAAAGCATAAAAAGTAGCTATCACTGGTTTTTTATTGAACATAAATTTAAATTCATCCTTAGAAATGAGATTGGACTGAAGTGCTTCCTCTAGTATTCCTTTTAATTCATTTAGATATTTAGCTGTGGGGTCTGAGCTCAGAATCATATATGTGTCTTTGTCGTCTAGGATTCTGCTGACCATTTCAATATAAGCGGTTTTATTCATAACGACTATGTTGCCCCCTTTGTCTGAAGCCTTTATGATAATTGAGTCATTCTGTCTTAGTGTATTGAGAGCTTTTCTTTCAGCTTGACTCAAATTATCAAAATGGTCAGAGGAATAAAAATCATCACTCATACCCTCAATTTCTTTGCATGTCAGTTCAACAAAGAGGTCGATGTATTTAAACTCCGAAATATATGGTGTGAATTTACTTCTAAGTTTCAGATTCGTGAAGGGTGCTTGCTTCTTCGTAGGGAGGTCATTGCTGTTGAGGAGATCAACTAAATTGTCAAGAAGATCCATATCCTTAACCTCCAACCCCAGTCTTAATGCCTTTTTAGATTTTTGAATCTCATGAAACTTATGTAACGCCAACTTGCGTGCGAAAAGATGGATGTCCTTTGTCCACACAAACTTATCGAACTTGGGTGTAGTGACAAAGGCCAGCCCTCTTCCAAGCACCTGGGACTCAAGGGGAGTGAGTTGATGAGACGACAAATTAATGATCTGGCTACTTTGTATTAATAGGCTTTTCTCCTTTTGTAGACAGTTTAAAACCCGCATCCTTGAACACATAAACTCTGTGAATCCATCTAGACAGATAGATACATCTATATCAAGACATTTGAAAATTAAACATGCCGGCTCTGCACAGGGCTTACGCTTTAATGGAGTAGAAAAAATAAAGTTGGGACCAAGGAAGGGAGATCTGGACAAAAGACTCTTACAGCGAGAGAGCGTCTGGATATTTAAATTAAAAACTTTATCCCCCTTGGGCCTTAACGAAGGATTCTCATACACTCCCTTTATCCCTGATTAAATACCGGTTCTTCCCTAGCAACACTTCATTAATTTACTATTTAATAATTGGAAATTAATCCATCAAAAGAGTAAATACTACTTAGATACATTCAATATGGAAATTTACCCCTGGTATGTCTGTGACTGACCCCTAGTGGCTCAAAGAAGGTATACAGCCCTCATTATTATAGCCTGTCTAGTGGGTATCTTCTGGATACACTTTAATTATACTATATAACTCACTCATTTGAGTAAATTATGTCCAGTAAGATTTACACATGACCGATCACTCTGATCCCATGATGACACATGATCCATTAAAAGTTATATAAATTACTTAAAATTTAATATATCGTATGCTACTTTTCCCTCCATCTCCTATTTATAATACTATACACGTTATTTGGATATATGGACTAGCACAACGTACCAGCCATCTAAATTGACAAATTGAATTGATACTGCCAATGGGAATGGCTGGACAAATTTCGATTACCGAAATACTAATCTCCATTTAGTAAGAATAAGAACTGACGAATTTATCTGCATTATAAAAAGCCTCAATATTTGATTATGTATATCAGAGGCATTTATCACCTAGTATTTATGTAGACACACTGGTATATGAGTATCTGGCAATTTATTTACGAACATCAAGCCATTGATAATACCCGCACATGGGAATTTTGGGTATAAGCTCAGCTACTACTATTTTCACATGACTGCTAAGAACAGTATAGCGGGGGTTAATTCCGCCCGTAAATCGAGAATGAGGCTTGATAATGAAATGATCATTACCCTAATAGGAAGTACAGTTAACCTGACCGCCCATATTTATATAATCCTTATGATATCCTGGGATAGGTATTAGGTCCCCATGGCTGAGCGAGGGTTAAAATCCCTTATTTTCACTTTTTAGAGGTTTTTCGCTCAAAGCCTCTCTACCCATTCTCATGATCCCACAGGCGTCCAGATAACCCATGATGAACCGTCTACTTCTCAAACAATGCCTTGTGATAGCAATACACTGATTTTACATGATATAAATTTCTTGACGAATCATTCGTCTCTGATTATAAAATTTACACAGATATATTCACCTTCGTCCTTTCCCTATTCTATGAAGCAAGTCACTCCATCCAATGAGTACATACAGGGTTAAATATAAACCACACAATGTAGAGGTGGACTTAACCCTGATTGGAGCCTTTTTTTTTTTTTCTTTATTTAAACAGCGAATTAGCATATTCTGACGTCATTTTGGCGCCAACTGACGGTCCACATAGGAACCCTGATTGGTGGAATCCTCTCAACAGTTACAATACCAGGGGTATTTAAACAAGGTCTAGGGTCCATAACGAATTCAGCCCCTGACGAAGGTGCATCACAGCACCGAAACGCGCGTCGGGTTGAAGGAGGTTTTTCTCCTTCACTTTCACTCACTTTTTATTTTCACTTCTAGGGCACTATTTCACGATGTGTAGGTAACCAGCACTCTAAGCATGGTTCTACACATTAGCACTATTATTTCCTAATTTTTCACCTTTTCCTCCTGTCACTCCTGATATGCTATCTAGATTGGAATTATCTATTTGATTGAGGAATCTGGACTGGCTCTGTATGTATTTGAGGGGGCAACAGATACTCTTTGTACCCCATAGCGATTTAGGAAACCACTAACTTAAGATTTATCATTTATGACATATTTTGTGATTAATCTACGAATTTTCATGTAGACTTTTTTCCTTTTATTATATGTTACTTGGTATCCAGCTAAATGCTGTTATCCTTAATTGCTGATTGCTTAACTACACTCTTATTGTAGCTTTTTTGATACAGCGGGCTTTGCTACAAGTGTTACTTTATATACAGCCAATATTCAAAGTTCCTCCTTGACTGATTGTCTTTTCCATCTAGATTACAGGAGTTAATTTAAAGGCTCATTCCACAACCGCTTTTACTGTTGACATGGACATACTATGGTTGATTATATTAAAGTCCTGAGTCTCAAATAGATTCTTTACGTCTAAGAGTCCTTTAGACAGGAGAAGAGCCATTTAGGCTATTTTAATCACTTGAATCTACGTATGAACCCTCTCTATATTCCGACATATTGATGGCAATTTTGATTTAATTATCTATTATCTACTAATATTTTGTCCAGCTGACAGTCCTGGTTCTGGTTTCAGTGACCAGTAACAGGAAAGTCATTTTCTAGTATAGTCATATATTAGCCCTAATTTTGCAATTCAGATTTATGTTTTCTAATGTTTGTAGTTTAGAGAATACTCTTATTTTGACATGGCTCAGAAATGTAATGTAATGCTAGTGTGTAAATGCAGTGAAGTAATAGGTTGGGATCAATGTATGCAGGTGTGTGTTTATGCATTATGTTTGTCTATACTGATTATTCCCTACTAGTGCACTTCACCCATCTGCCTCTTTGTATCTCTTTCCACCCCCTCTATTCATTTGTACATGCCAACTGTGATCTTTTTCACATATTCCTCTCTTTCTGTCACTTATGTCTCTCTACCCATATCCTCTCATCCGACCTCGTGTCCATCTTTCCATATCCTGTAATTGTGTCCCTCTGCCCATTTTCCAATCCAGTGTCCCTCTGTTCATATCTCCTCATCCCCCTTATGTCCCTCTGCCCATATCCTCCACTTATGACCCTCTACTCATATCTGTAATTTGTGTCTTTCTGCCCATGTACCCTAATTGTGTTCCTCTGCCCCGTCAACATTGTATGCCCCTTGGCCCATATTTACCCATTTGAGTACTTCTCTTCCTGTCCCCACCTTATGTCCCTCTGCCCTTATCCTCCCTTATGTCCATCGTCTCATGTTCCCCATTTGTGCCTTTCTACCCATGCCATGCCATGCCATGCCATATTTTTCTAGATATTATTTTTATTCCATCCAAGGGTGGACCTGGCAACATATGATAAAACTATATCAGCACAGAGAAAATAAGGCTAACGTGTACTTGACATGTTTAAAATATTGTTTGTTGGCCCAAAGTTTTGATATCCAGGGTTTCCAGTGATGATGCCTCCAAGACAGTAGTTAGTTTCTGTGGTGTTACCATGACTCACCAGAGATACTGTTCAATGGCTGGCTCCCCTTTAGCTTCACAACAGAATGTCACACTTTGCCCCACTCTCCTAACTTTGCTCGTGGGATTCTCCAACATGTAAGGCTTTCCTATAAAGACATTATGATAAACAAAAAAGTATATTGAAGCAAGTTTATACTAACAGAGTGATATTAAATAAGATTTGTTAGTAATAGAAAACATGTTCGGGCTCTGTTAATGATAGTATTGAAAGTATTTATTTTACAAATAAAAATGTGCATGGGCAAATGATGAATCTACCAACTTTGGCTGCCTGTGCCACAGACAAGGTCCCTGTTCAACATGACCAATAGATTATAAAAATAAAGATAAGCCTCAGTATCGTTTTTTTAAATGACAGTATTAGAACAGTACAAAGCCCACTGAAAAAATGTACTAATGCTAATACTAATCTAGATACTTTCTTTCAAAAAGGATCAAATATTTGACACAAACATAGAGAAAACTATCAGGAGTAGGCAACCTTCGGCACTCCAGACGTTGTGGACTACATCTCACATTATGCTCTTACAGCCATAATACTGGCAAAGCAAAATGTAGTCCACAACATCTGGAGTGCCGAAGGTTGCCTACCCCTGAGCTAGATAAATAATAGATATTATTAATAAGAATGAATACCTAAGGTTTGTGGTGAGCAAAAATATGAGGTCACTGAATAGATTGCATGACAGGTTCCCTATGTCACCAAAATGGTTTCTGAGCATATGTATGGAATTACCTATCTTTCTATCATTGCTAAGCTAAATTACTTTAGATAGAGGAGCTATATAAGAATTGTTAAATACATGTATCACACATTTTTATGACATTCTTTGACTCCATTATAATATGAGTTTTCCAGTAATTTTACCTTTTCTCTTAAAAGAGACTTGAATGGATGATGTACCGTTACTCTGAGGAACTTTTACATGGACGACCGCATACTTTTCTAATTTTAACTGCAATACATTGTAAGGACAGACTTTTGACACTTGGAACTGTCCGTGGGCATCTGATACTGCTTCAAATTTAGGTTTCTTCCCCATGACGTAGACGTTGACTCCGGCAGCAGGTGCGCCATCAGGAAGGGTGACGGTGCCATATAGAATGTGATTCTTGCACTCACAAACATTGCAGTCTGCACTCACTTGGCCTACAGAACAGCTGATATCGCAGGCTGAAGAGAGGAGATACAAAATGTCAACTGTAGATAAACTGTACCATATGGCATTCAATGATATATCTTTACAATATCCCCATGAACTTTTTGTCTGTTGTGTAAACATCATTAAACTGTTTGCTTCATCACAAAGGCCTAGGATCTAATACACGCGAAACATCCTTTACTGCCTTTCCTTTTAAAATTAATTTGCACTGAAAATACGAATGAGGCTGAGAGGGATGTTATTTCTCAAGCAATCAGGTACTTACCTATTCACCTGTACCCACGAAGGTTTAAAAGCAAATACACTAGATTTAAGATACTTGCTTTAAGAAATGTAATACTACATTACAGGAACTAGTAGACTTGTGCATATCGAAAAATTCAGTGTTTCTGACTAGTTGGATTTTTCCAATGTGGCCTTTTAATTTGGACACATTTTGTAAATACTATGTTATATTTTGCAGTACACTGATAGGAGCATTTTTACATCATTTAGTTCACAGACCAAGTGAGAAGAAGTAACCAACAGAGTTAAAAAAAAGACAGAACCTTGGAATCAATAGACCTCAATGCAAGCTGTAATGAAAAATGTATCTCGGTTCCTTAAATTAACATTGTCATCATTTTTTTATTTTTTTTTTACTATCTTAGTATAATCTTTATGCTACAACATATCAATTTCTTAGTCTTTTTTTTTTTTTACTAAATGTATATTGAGATTTCTGAAGAAACCAGCTCCCTCCTTTTCACTCTCACTCTCACTTAAAGTCATGTTGATGCACCATCAGAGGGATGAGCGATAATCTGACCCAATGCTTAATGCTCATTAGCACAAATATATTAAGATTTGAAAAAAAAATGACAACAGTGTTCCTTTAACTCTTGGCATCTTGTGTCCAATAAATTGTTATTTTAGTGTTTCTGCATACTATTTTAATTGCCCACCTATGTAATTCAGTAATGTCTGAGGTCATTCTTCCTGAACAATTCTTAGGATCTGAACAGCTAGGTTATGATACTGGTTGCTAAAAGGACTATATCAAGTGTCATAATTCACCATCATGCTACTCTGTGCTTTGATACTGCTAGGCAGGTGAAAAAAAAATGAAACAAATTGGAAATTCAAAGAAGCTTTTTAAACCTCAAACTTTCCCTTTCATTTTCTGATCTTCTATTTCAATATGTGCCAATATTTGTGTATAGTGTGGCAGACATTGGCGGATCCAGAGCCTGATCTCGGAAGGGGCACTTGTAGATTATTTAAAGAAATAATCCAGATACAATAACCACTACAGCTCAGTGTAGTGGTTATGGTGTCAATAGTGCCAGGCCCCCTCCCAGAGTAAGTAGTGAAACCGTTTAAGAACAGTTTGACAACTTACCTGAGGTCTGCTGGGAAATGGGGCTGCAGTAGGGCATAGGAGCAGTGGTGTGTGTGAGTGGTGCAATGTGTAAGGGGTGCAGTGTGTTTGTGAGGGGGGCAGTGTGTGAGCAGTGTGTGTGTGTGTGTGTGTGTGTGAAGGTTGCAGTGTGTGAGTGAGGGATGCAGTATATGTCAGGGGTGCCGTGTGTGTGTGTTAGGGGGGCAGTGTGTGTGTGGGTCAGTATTTGTGTGTGACATTTGCAGTGTGTGTGTGTGTGTGTGTGAGGATTGCAGTGTATGTGGGGCAGTGTGTGTGTGTATGGGGCAGTGTGTGTGTATGGGGGTAGTGTATGTGTGTGTGGGGAGGGGGGGGGAGCAATGTGTGTGTGTGATTATAAAAAAAAATCCCCCTACCCTTCTTATCACACACATTGCCCCCCACACACATACACTTCCCACATACATACATAATTTTTTTTTTTTAAAACAACACATAAAAAAGCCCCCAAACCCTTCTTATATGTTTTTTTTATTTATTTAATTTAATTTAAATAAAATTTGTTATGTCCCCCCCTCCCTTCTTACCTTTACTGGGAGGAGGGGGGACATTTCTTAGTCCCTGGTGGTCCGGTGGGGATTCCCTGGTGGTCCCAGTGGTAGGAGTGAACTCTAGCCCGCGCTCCAGGGCTAGAGTTCACTCTCGCGAGATTTAATGCGTTGCCGTGGTAACTGCCGCAACCAGTGGTGTATCCTGGTTTTGTGCCTTACATAAAAAAGTTATCAGCAAGTGTGCCAAGCCTTTGAAGTGTCTCTGTTTGAGCTAACATTCTCTTTATATACTACAATTCACCATGACATCACAAGAATACTAGACGTTCTTCCGGGTGGAAAAGCTGAAGCGTTCTCCGATGAAAGCTGTACTGCTTATAGAATTACCAGGCAAAAACTGTAAATATAACTGAACCATCATCTCAATCTCTCAACATTACTTCCATATTGAGATAAAGAGAATTGTAAAACAACAGGTGCATATCTACAGATTAAACTAAACCCATCTACCATTAAAGGGACACTATAGTCACCAGTGCAACTACATGTATTCCTGACCCTATAGTGTTAACACCACCATCTAGCCACCATGGGCCCCTCATGCCTCCATAAATATAGTAAAAATCTTACTGTATTCAAGCCAGAAGCTGTAACTCTGCATGCGGTTTGTCTAAAAAAACACAAAACAGTCTGCTGACATCATCAGAAGTGGTGGCCTGATCCAATCAAAGTGCTTCCCCATAGGATTGGATGAGACTGACAAGGAGGCAGATCAGGGGCAGAGCCAGCATGATTCAAAGCCCTGGCCAATCAGCATCTCCTCATAGAGATGAATTGAATCAATGAATCTCTATGAGGAAAGTTCAGTATCTGCATGCAGTGGGAGGAGATACTGAATCACAGGATGCTGTGCACAGTGCTGCTCTGTGCTCTGCTGACAGCAGATCTGAGTGGATGGAGGCATGGTTGTAGGAACCGGGGGGGATGGAGGGGACGCATCCCCCCCAGCAAATCATGCGGGGCAGACTGGGAAGGGGAGCACCTCCCCCCAGGGCCGGCGCTACCTGTTAGGCGGACTAGGCAGCCGCCAGGAACGCCGTCCCCCCTCATGCAGCAGCTGTGCGAGCTCTCAGCAGAGAGCCTCAGGCGGCTGCAGCTTTGGCCGGGCTGGTGCGTCCATGAGGGCACACCGCCCGGGCGCAGCATGAGGAGAGGGGCTGACAGGAGGGAAGCGATCAACGCTCCCTCCTGTCACTCCCTCACTGTAGCATGGCCGAGCCCTGTATGGTCTGTGCGTACAGGGAGCATCTGTCTCCCGTACCCGGCTGGACTAACAGGAAGTGCGCACTGAGTGTGCACTTCCTTGTAGTCCGAGCCCCTGTACCGGACCATATAGGGCTCCGCCACGCTTACAACAGAGGTAGGGGAGGGGGGAGAAAGAAATTGATCGGGGAGAAATGACAGGGGAGAAATTGATGGGGATTGGGAGAAATAAATTGACGGGGGGAGAAATAAATGACAGGGAGGGGAGAAAGAAAATTGACAGGGGAATAAATTGACTGGGGAGAAATAAATTGACAGGGGGAAATAAATTGATGGGGAATAAATTGACATTGGGGAGAAAGAAATTGACAGGGAGGGAAAGAAACTGGGAAAGAAATTGACGGGGAAGAAATTGACAGGGGGGGGGAGAAATAAATTGATGGGGGGAGAAATAAATTGACAGGGAGGGGGAGAAATAAATTGACGGGGGGGCGGGGCCGGGCGGCCATGCCAGCAGGCTGCATATCACACGGGCTCCTGAGCAAACAAAGGAAAAAAGGCAATATATCCACTTTACCCGACTTATACGGACCCGGGGGTCCATGACATGAAGCCCTGAAGTGTCCCAGTGTAGCTGGAGCGCCCGCCGCAGGGTGGCTCTAGGTCCTGGTGAGAGACTCTGGCGCTCGGGGATTGAGGCCTACCCGGGAGGGGAGCGGGGTGGACGGCCGCTGCCTCGCTCTCCACTCCGACTGCAGTAAATCACCATCTACTTGGTACCTTCCTGGTCCTGCTTCCCCCCCCATGGGCCGGGGGGGTCATCCCGGTCCCCACCAGGCGGGCTAATGCCTAAACGTCTCACCTGAATGGTCTGAAGCCGGAGTGAGGATCCCACGCGGTCTCACCAAAATGGCTGACGGAGGCACAGCAACTGCATCGACAGAAGGTGATCACTCTGTGCTCACAACCTGCTACCACCGGGGGTCCCTGAGGGCTCTCATGCCCCCACGTAACAGCCCTGGAACATACAAGCTGACAAATGAGAACCACCACAGCCAGCATTTCCTCCACATGCCCATCTCAAAGCGGCAACCCCAGAAGGGCACTCTGCAAGCAAGCTCCACTAACGACCAGGGCTGGAAGAACAAACAGAACACCCAGCTTTACCCACTGACCGCATGGTGCTATAGCCCTCGACAATACATCAAGGCTCGCAAGACATGGCAAACCTACCCAACAACCGGGACATTAGGAACAAGTGGAATTCATGGGGTAATATCAAGGGACTCACCCCACACCTGGGCATGGAACACAACCAGATTACCTCAGGCTTTGCGCTGGGCTGGAGCTGACGGTGACCCCAGCCGTTCATAATAAGAAGCACAATATATAGTATGACATGAATAGCTATACCAGATATCACTGTAGTTGCAGTCATTGAATAACGTGCATATCCTCTGCATATGACCCTGTATATAGTTCAGCTTTACTTGAGCTTTATATGTATAGAAGGAAATAACTGAATGTATGATGCTCTGCCTGGTGGCACCCTACTTTAATGAGAATCTTAGCTAAAGTTGGAAACCTTAATAGAAATAGATATATTTTGTTAGTCAGCACTGCATAGTCTATTATAACCTAAAGTGCAAACTCACAGTCTCAACTATTGCATGTCACGACTACTTAGACCAACTGTTACTGTACAAAATGTATGTCTCTCACTTAAGCATAGTCAGGCATAACCATGTCAATGTCTAGATAATGAAGCGATGACACGCGACATAAATATTAACCCTAAGCTACTGGTACTAATCGACAATGTAATTCAAAAGACAGACGTAGTTACTAAGCTTGTACTTAACTTGTATTATTACCCTAAAAAAAAAAATGTGTGCGTGTCCTCTATGCTATACAACAGTTGACAAATAAGTGTCTGTAAATTGATTGCGATTGCTGTTGTGGCATTGTTGATATGCAAAATTATTTCATGCACAGCAAAAATAAAGAATTAAAATAAAAAAAAAAAAAAAAAAAAAAAATTGACAGGAGGGGGAGAAATAAATTGATGATGGGGAATAAATTGACAGGGGGGGAGAAAGAAATTGACAGGGAGGGGGAGAAAGAAATTTACAGGGGGGGAAAGAAATTGATGGGGGGAGAAATCTAGATTTATTTAATTCTCATTTACTGCAGTCTCTGTAAACCACGGCTGACAATATTCACAGAATAAAAACAACACATACTCCAGCACTTCAAGACAGTGATAGCTAAGCATTTTACTTTTGAGTTATCATGGAGTACGTTTCCCATTAGGCTCAGCCAGCCTGCAGTCTGTCTGAGAATCATTGGCCTTGTGATCTACAGCAGCAGTGCCAAAATCTACGCCCTGGCTGCTTTAAGACTATGCCTTTGCTAAGCCCATTAAAGTAAGTGTCTCGCCACTTTGGGAAGATCTATGTAAAACTGCTGCTGCAGCTGCTCGTGCTGTCCTTCTGCCATGGTGCTCCAGTCCCCACTACTGAGCAACTACACATACGAGACGTTCTTCCCGGTGGTAATACTTTGAAGGCAGTACTTTGTTGATAAAGAAAGCAATCAAGGAGCGATACACCTTACTTCCATACTTGTACCTACTCTTTCATTGAGTACACATGTCTGCCAAGCTGGTGATGAGGTGAACATCCGTATTAATATCTTTAGTTAAAGCCTTGTCTTCTACTACTGCCTCCCAGTAAAATACCTTGTTTCTTTGCATTACTCACAGGCCCTTCTGGGTAGAATTTCCCCAAGAATCATTTGGAATGTAGAGCCAATACAGTGGAAGTTGCTCGCGTTCTGCCACCCGGAAGTATCTTGGTACCTATTGTTTACAAACATTCTGAAATGCCGTATACATGTTCTTAGATTATAGTTTATGCCACTTTAAACCTGTGCACAGAATACACACTGTGCTGTTCTTAAAAGAGGGGGTATGTCACAAATTTTACATCGACCATAAACCTCATTGCTTTCATATATTTAGCAATGAAGTCGCTGAAAAGCGATAGTGAAAAGAACCACGTTCAGAACGAAGAACATCATTCAAGACATAGCTATAACAGAAAGCAGGAAGTACAAAGCAATGTTTGAAAACTAGAAGGAAGCAAGCAAACTAGCAACTTGTTTAATTCTGCAGATCAGGCTCCCCAGACTAAATACACCAATCCCAGAGATGATGGAGCCAGCAGACATGATGGAAGGAGGGAGGGGTATTTTAACAGGCAGAATAGGTGCCCCCTACAGGGGAGGCGCTTGTAAGCAGGTGCCTACTTTGCCTTTATTATCCCAGATCAGGTACACACTTTGGAACATAATGTCTAATTTGATTTATTGCAACCCATTGAGGGAGATTCATTAAAGTGTCCTAGACAGTTTTGCACTTTATATGCGTTCTCTAGCCTAATTTATTTTATTTTTGCGCCTTAAGTATCACTTTTGAATGTACACCATTTTTTTCAAGTGACACAATGGATTTAATAATCTTTCCATCACATTCTCTGCCAGAAAATTGTTCTGTTTCACTTCTACTTTTCCGCCACTCTAAATTTGGCAGTCTTTTCTGGAATGAATATTTCTGCAAAAAATGGTAACATTTACATAGAGAAATTATGACACTTTTTAGGCAATTTTTAAAACAATTTTAATACACGATGTGAGGAAGGCTGAACTTGATGGACGCAAGTCTCTTTTCAACTATGTAACTATGTAACTATATAACATGAACATATTATAAAATAAGATAAAATGCAATTTTCAAATCACTGATACATCTCTCTCACTATTCGTAAAATATTAGCAAAAGGACTTGAATTTCCAAAGACAATATCTACATTGTTTACACAATTATTATTTTGTAGTCATGTGGGGTACCCCGGTGCTGCTACTGTTGGATTTGTTATAGTGCCCACTAAGCATGTGATTGGGCAAGTGCTGGGCAAGGTTCTATCAAGGTTATTTACTAAATTCAGAATTGTAGTGAATTCAAATCTAAATGGCAAAATTAATACTAATTAAGGCTTGTGACTGAAGCCAATTCGAGAAATTTTCCAGATTGGCTATATTTGCTTAAGTTTTGCAATTCGGAATTTTTGTTTGCTTTAAGTTTATTGAATAACCCTGTATAAATCCCATTGATGTTAGTGATGTAGGCTTAAATCATTCTGAAACAAATGCTATTATTCAACTATGATGCACAATGCAAATTTGTACACTTAATATTACCTGCACAAGGTCTCCCAGTACACCTGCGCCCCTCCTCTGTAGGTCCATTGCAGTGCCTGTGCCATTGATCTTCAACTAGACACATCCTTTTCCGTATCTGCATCCCATTACCACCACACTGAGCTGAGCATTCACTCCATTTCGACCATTCTGACCAAGCTTCCTTTGGAACACTGGGTGCCATAACTGAAATACAGTCATTATGATTTATTATTAAAAGTCATAGAATAACAATTGTACCCTTATCAGTGTTAAACGAACTGTATTACATCATAGATCCCTGTATAAAGTTAGATCTATACATTGAACTGACCGAATGGCTAGAAATATATTGAATAGTGGATATAGTAATACATAATTATATTGCAATTGATTAAAAATAGTTATAGGTAAATATCAAAATCAAATGCATTACAGGAATAGTACTTAAATAAACACTTGAAGCAAAATGCTATCACACGTACACAGGGTTAATCACTGCTGGAATTGTCAGGAATTCACCATGGAATTACATATTTAAAGGTGCAGCTAAGGACTATAACCACTACCACCTGCTGTAGTGGTTTTTGTGGTCCCCTGGTACCACAGATTGGCCTTAATTTCTGAGATATCAAAAGCAGAACTTGTCTTTATTTAGATTAATTGCATTGGTTGGTAGGGATGGCTGATGATCTTAGCCAATGAATTCCATCCAAACACGAGAAACTTCAGCAATGATGATCTCAGAATTTGAGGCTAGACTGGGGGCAATCTGGGCACCCAGGTAAATGTCAAACCATTTAAAACTGTGACTATTTAAGGTGGTACAGTGCTAGGGGACTCATTAGGAGGCATTATAGAGAGCTGAAGAAGATATGATTCTGAAACTGACTGTTTAAAGGATACTATAGTCACTAAGACCACTTCAGCTCAATGAAGTGGTCTGGGTGCAATGTCCCTCAGGTTTTAACCCTTCAGATGCAAACATACCTGTAACGGACCGTTTTGCACACAAGGGGTAAAAACCGTTTAGGCGATCGGCCCCCTTTCCAGAGATGCAGGCACAGCTACTGCAGAACACCAAGCTCCTGAACTGGATACAAAATAGCACTCCAACTCCCGAACTGGAACCTCACGAATAGCTGCCAGCAGACGAACAGGAAAAGCTCCCAAGCGGCTTACACTCCTGGCAATCAGTCTCCAACAGCATACAGTGAATCCCCCCAAGAACGAGACAAGGCTCCGTGTTGAGGGTCAAGCAGTGGTCTGAAGTGCTGGCACACCCAGCCTGGTTTTTATTACAGTGTTTCAAATACAGGACCACCCACAGGGAGGGATAAAACAACCAATCATTTCACAGTTACATCCCACATATTCCCTCCCCTTATCCTGAGAGGAAACTCAATTATACAAACAGTTAAAACATACTTTCTACCCAACTTTCATAACTCCAAAACCATACATCACATTCACATAAAATTACATATTCTCAATCAATCCATTCAGGGAAACAACATATTCAAAAATGGCACAAATCAGACAAGGGGTTCAACAGTTAGTAAAAAGTCCTTTGTGACTAAATGAAGCATGGCTTTCTGGCCCAAACCAGTTTCAGAGTCTTCTATCCTGGAGATAAGTAATTGAATTATCTCCCAGGACAGACACAAGACTCCATTAAGCACATGGTTGCAAAAAGACACAAAGCACTTTAAAATACATAAAGTCACATTTATACATAAAACATAGACATTTCACATATCCCCAGATAGCTCAGGTCTGAGCGCACATTATTAAGTGAATGGCGCTCGGACCACACAAATACAGTTTAATCACCATGGAGCCAAAGTCTTTACAGTGAGTTTCATACAAATGGGCTCCATGGGATTCCTATCTGGGGTATAACACATTCAAACAAATCTACTGAACCCCAGGCAGAAAAGCACGAATACAGCTTTTCTGCAGGCAAAAATAAAGTCTTTTAAAAGGGGCCATAGTCCAAAGGCAGCAGGCGAGCAACCAGGCTTCTCCAATGCAATGTGGCGAGATTGGTCTCGTCACATCTCTCCCCTTTCCCAAACAGACTAACAGGGTATCTGACCTCCTGCCGGTCAGTGCCCTTGTTAGTCCAGCAGCCCACCCACAAAACATAATCAACAGCACAGCCCACCCACAATAAATGGTTACTACACCTGGGTAAAGGAGAAGCTTGTCCATGTCCAAGTGCCTCACCACGGCTGTGCTGGGTACGGGTACGCTGACTGGGTGGGTTGCTGCGTGGGCAGAGACCAGCGGCACTCTGCCCTGTTGCCAGCGCTACTGGGAGGGTAGTCTGGTTGAAGCCTGGTTGTTGGAGGGGGAGACCGACTGTCTCCCCTTTAACTACACCACTCTGCTGCTGGAGACCGACTGTCTCCCCTTTGTTGCACAGCTCTGCTGCCGGAGGGGGAGACCGACTGTCTCCCCTTTGGATACTCTAAGCTGTCGCTGGGGAGAGGGGGTAACAGGCTCCTCTCCCGATAGAACACTCTGCCGCTGGGGAAAGGAGACTGAGCTCTCTATTCCCTGCCCATTAATGATCCGCCGCTGGGGAGAGGTGGTAGCAAGCTCCTCTCCCATACATACTTTCATCCTCTGTGGAGGGAGACCGACTGTCTCCGCTCCCAATACAGTGTCCTGCTGCTGGGGAAAGGAGACTGGGCTCTCTATTCCCGGTAGGACACTCTGCCGCTGGGGAATGGAGACTGGGCTCCCAATTCCCTGCTGTATCTCCCGCTGGGGAATGGAGACTGGGCTCCCAATTCCCGGCACATCACTCGGCCGCTGGGGAATGGAGACTGGGCTCCCAATTCCCCAAAAATCACGCTGCTGCTGGGGGGCAGGAACAACTACCTCTGCCCCCTGTAGCTCAGCCTGCCGCTGGGGAGGGAGGACGCTGCTCTCCTCTCCCTGCACTTTACACTGCCTTCCCGGCATATCACTCTGCTGCTGGGGGGCAGGAACAACTACCTCTGCCCCCTGTAACTCAGCCTGCCGCTGGGGAGGGAGGACGCTGCTCTCCTCTCCCTGCACTTCACACTGCCTTCCCGGCATATCACTCTGCTGCTGGGGGGCAGGAACAACTACCTCTGCCCCCTGTAACTCAGCCTGCCGCTGGGGAGGGAGGACGCTGCTCTCCTCTCCCTGCACTTCACACTGCCTTCCCGGCATATCACTCTGCTGCTGGGGGGCAGGAACAACTACCTCTGCCCCCTGTAACTCAGCCTGCCGCTGGGGAGGGAGGACGCTGCTCTCCTCTCCCTGCACTTTACACTGCAGCTGGGGAATGGAGACTGGGCTCCCAATTCCCGGCATATCACACTGCCGCTGGGGAATGGAGACTGGGCTCCCAATTCCCTGCATATCACACTGCCGCTGGGGAATGGAGACTGGGCTCCCAATTCCCTGCATATCACACTGCCGCTGGGGAGAGGAGACTGGGCTCTCTCTGTCCCGCAACTGTAGTTGCCGGTGGAGGTCCACCCACCGTGGCAGCTGACCGTCACCCTCTGCCCGGTACAGCAGAGTCTTGAATACTAGACTCCTCACGAACTTCACGGATTTCTCAGCTGGATTAGGTCCGAAGAAGTTCAGCCGCAACCACATCATACGGTCAAATTCCTGTACAGAGTATCTGTACTCCACTGCTGGCTCCATTCTGTTGCTGTCAGGGTCGCTGTACTGAGACATGCGTTGCCCTCAAATTGTAAAATCCACGGAATGGTGTCTCCTGTAGCTGTCCTTCTGGCTGTAGGAACGATCCCACTGCTGCCACCAATTGTAACGGACCGTTTTGCACACAAGGGGTAAAAACCGTTTAGGCGATCGGCCCCCTTTCCAGAGATCCAGGCACAGCTACTGCAGAACACCAAAACTCATGAACTGGATACAAAATAGCACTTCAACTCCCGAACTGGAACCTCCCAAATAGCTGCTAGCAGACGAACAGGAAAAGCAGACAATCAGCTTACACTCCTGGCAATCAGTCTCTAACAGCATACAATGAATCCCCCCAAGAACGAGACAAGGCTCCGTGTTGAGGGTCAAGCAGTGGTCTGAGGTGCTGGCACACCCAGCCTGGTTTTTATTACTGTCTTGCAAATACAGGACCGCCCACAGGGAGGTATAAAACAACCAATCACATCACAGTTACATCCCACATATTCCCTCCCCTTATCCTGAGAGGAAACTCAATTACATACAGTTAAAACATACTTTCTACCCAACTTTCATAACTCTAAAACCATACATCACATTCACATAAAATTACATAATCACAATCAATCCATTCAGGGGAACAACATATTAAAAAATGGCATGAATCAGACCAGGGGTTCAAAAGTTAGTAAAAAGTCCTTTGTGACTAAATGAAGCATGGCATTCTGGCCCAAACCAGTTTCAGAGTCTTCTATCCTGGAGAGTAATTCAATTATCTCCCAGGACAGACACAAGACTCCATTAAGCACATGGTTGCAAAAAGACACAAAACACTTTAAAATACATAAAGTCACATTTATTACATAAAACACAGACATATCCCCAGATAGCTCAGGTCCGAGCGCACATTATTAAGCGAATGGCGCTCAGACCACACGAATACAGTTTAATCGCCATGGAGCCAAAGTCCTTACAGTCAGTTTCATATGAATGGGCTCCATGGGATTCCCATCTGGGGTATAACACATTCAAACAAATCTACCGAACCCCAGGCAGAAAAGCACGAATGAAGCTTTTCTGCAGGTAAAAAAGATGTCTTTTAACAGGGGGCCATAGTCCAAAGGCAGCAGGCGAGCAACCAGGCTTCTCCAATGCAATGTGGAGAGATTGGTCTCGTCACAATAAATGTGCTTTTAATCTGATGTGAACTATAGCATGAGAGGGTGGGACGAAATTAAACCTTGCTTGTTCACTGACTTTGGCATAATTTAAACCAAAATGTTTTAATCCTTTATCGGCACACCTGAACTTATTGTTTAAAGACTAAACGCTGTAATTATTTGAAAATGTAAAAAAAAATAATAATAATAACTTTAACAACTGAAGTGAATAACTTGTGCGCTAATTCATTTTATTTCCTATAGGCTATTGTCCAACAAGTGGCAGAACTCTTAAATGCAGTAGAGCACACTCAAAAAGTTCTCATTAATGAGGAGCTGGTCGATTGGAAGCGCA